AAACCTGCTCCATATAAAATTCCAATCATACTTGACCAAAAGCAAAACACTGGAGAATACGTAAGCCCTGCCCAGCCCCATCTTCATCTTCTCCCCCTCCYAAAAAAAGTAGGAAAGTTAAGTGAAGTGCGGCGCTTAAGCCAAAGGCATTGAACGGGTGGCTGAGCTCCGTTCGATTTTGGCTTGGAGTCTCTGCTGCTCCTGGCAGCAGTCAGCAAAAATTTTCTGCTACACTTTTGCCAATAACTTGCCGTTGCTTAACGTTATATTTTATTGATACACTGGCCAGCAGCAGAAAGAGTTGCTAGTTGGGCTAAATGGATAGCTGAAATGCTCAACTAGATGATGTTTAGCTTTTTCACAATCCTTCTCATTGAATGAGGYGGTCTGAGTRAATGGAATGAGCGAGCTATCTATWTCCASCTTCMKTGGAGTTTTCCTCTCTTCACTCATACCTCGAAGTATGTCTATCATTTCTCACCTCGAAAGAGTATCTCTGGTTCAGCTTGATTTTGCGTTGCATTTTTCTGGTTGCTTTGCTAAACTTTGGTCCAGCAACTTGACTGCCAAATGGCCCCGCGCCGCATCGTTGCATTTATTTGTGTGCTGGGGCTTATTTCCAGTGCACACAATTTTCGACAGATTTTCAAAATAGTTTCCGCTGCATAGGTAAAATGCTGCTGGGGACTTGGCAGCAGCTCCAATGCCAACTCCAACTCCAACTCCAACTCCCACTACAACTTCAACTTCAGTTTGCAATCTTTGCGGTTGGCTTTTGTGAGAGGCGGAGGCGGAGGGCTGGCAAAGGGAGGCGTGGAGCTGAAATTTCTTTTCACTTTTCAAACATTAACCTTTAAACACTTTGTGAAGGGCGCCGCTGCTGTTGTCGTGCAGGTTGTCACAGCTTAATCGATTTGAAGAAAAGTTTTATGTCGTTTTCTACCTCTTCATGTTACTTTTATTTTCACGCCCCATTTGTTGGGAAGCGCTTACGGTAAATTGCAAAGGAAAATCCGTAGTCGTTGTCGTTGTCGTAATCGAGCTCCACGGCGTGCAATGATAAACTTTCGACACATTTTTCATTTATTTTCAGCACCTTTGATTGATATATTGAACACTTGGCG